ATGTGGGAACAAGACGACTGATCATCCTCGGAGCGTTGCAGAAGCATCGTTCAATTTTTAAAAGATCCATAAATCACCCATAGGTAAAACAGACTCTAACATTAAAATCCATTTTATGACTCAGCTGATTGTTTTCTTTTTCGTTTTGGTTAGTTTTTTCCTTCAATCGGCTGCAGACATGTGGGGCCGCAGCCTCTGGGCCCTGAGAGCTGACTCGGAAGTGAATGAGAAATGAAACGGTGATTAAATGTGAGGCGGAGGCAGCCGGAGAAAATCTGAAAGTTGAGGTAAAAAGTTTGGAGATTAGATGAAGTCACATCATGAGGCAGTTTTATCATTTTATGATTTTAACAGTTTTATCTTTTTTTGTTCTCTTCTACTTTATATGTTTGTATGTAACAGGTCTCTCTTGTAAATGAGTCCTCGAGGCTCAATGGGAACTAACCTGTATAAATAAAGGCTGAAATGCAAAAAAAAAAAAAAAAAAAAAATTAAAACCTCAGTTGCTGCTTGGTTATTACTCACATATTCTCTGCAACAACTAAAACAAAAAAGTCGACAGCGACTTGTCTTCAATCAGAAGGAAATTACTAGAAAAAGAAGGCTTGCCCCAGTCTTTTTGATTTGCTTGTTTAAATGCATCCTTTTTTATTGTGTTTTCCGGCGTATAAGTCGTTCCTTAGTATAAGTTGCATCAATCCAAAAAAAGCATCATGAAGAGGAAAAAACATATAAATCGCTTCGGCGCACAAGTTGCATTTATTATGCATCAGCGCTGAACCGTTGTTTATTATCCGTTTATTTAATGGTCAAAACAGCTTAATTTCGCCTGGGTGCCATTCATCCATTCATTGCAGCCAGAGCCACTAGCTCTCCAGCGTTCTTCCACCTGCATCAGCTGAGTGAAGCGAGCATGCACGGGAGGACTCACTGTTGCAGTTCTTAGAAATTTAACAAGATTAACACTGAAAAACAATTATTTGTTTGCTCGACATTATAGCAAAGGTGTGTCTCAGTTGAACTTTTCCTTAATAAATGGTCAAAACAGCTTCATTTCGCTTGGGTGGTGCAGCTCCATCCATCCATCCATCGCGTCCGGAGCCACTAGCTCTCCAGCATTCCTCCACCTGCACCGGCTGAGTGAAGCGAGCACGCACGGGAGGACTCGCTGTTGGAGTTCTTAGAAATTTAATGTGTCAGTCAAAAATTGCGTTATGAATATGGGAAAAAAATGTATTGAAGTCGCTGGACTGACAAATCTATGCAAAAAAAACTGACTTATATGCCGTAAAATACAGTAGTAAGTAATTGTGTTCAGCCGCTGCTTTTGAAAACCAAAATGAGCTGTCAGGCTCCTCTCAAACCACCTGTTAATACCAAACTAATTATCCTTCAAGGCGTTGTGCCGGCCAACAGATACCATCAGCAGCTCCATCTGTAACCCTCCGTTTAGACCAGCCCCGGTTCTGTTCACTCTGAGGGTTCGTCCTCCGTGATCTGAGTGCAAACACAAACTCGCATCCAATCAGGGAGCGCTGACACTGAGCCAAGTGTGTCACATAAAGGCCCCGCTGTCTAAATCACAGCAGGATTGTGGGTAAATAGTACTGTCCTGTCCGGGCCATGAGCCTGCCATCACCAGGAAACCTTAATCACTAAGGTGAAGAGTCTGTGTGCAACCATTAACCCGGACCATCGACACCAGGGACAGCTCGTGGTTCTTTAGTCACTTTCAGGTGCAGCCTCAGGCTTTGATTTTCTGCTAAAGACTAAAAATCTGATTTCAGACCACCAACTGACCCTGAAGCCATCTTATTTCTTGTTTGAACGCTCAGACAGACTAAAAAACTGGATTCAGACCATCATCTGGCGGAGCTCTGCAGCTTTCCTCGCATGGCCTCTCTGGCGTCACATCAGCCCTGATGTGTCTGTTTCAGCACAGAATTGTCCTTTTCTATTTCCAAAACCAAGTGTGATCATGAGGGAATCTGTGGATTCAGACATTCTGGTGATTAATTAGCTTGTGCATCCAGAGCTGCCCTCACACCTCAAGGGAAGGCTCGTTCTTCCACCAAAGCATATTTTCTTTGTCTGTCTGAGACCCGAGTCGATCCCCTGACAGACGCTCGGCTGCTCTCATGGTGTCTGTCCTATATTTCACCCGACGCTCTGGATTCACACGCTTCATACTGGACAAGGTGAACACGGGAAAGCTCTAAAATTTGTAGAAAAACAAGAGTAACCCTTCACGAGGAGTCACGCACTGAGAAATAAAAATGTCACTTGAAGCCTCTGGGATGGTTTGAGGTGTTTTACCTGATTTGGTCAGAAAACACAGCAGCAGGAAATAATGAGGTCAAGGCCTGGACTGAGTGACGAGGAACTCCTGTTAACAATGCAAATCTGAAAAACGCTGCAATATAATATACGTTTTAACAGCCGACAGCGTTGCACAACAGTTGCGTCCTCCAAAATAAAACCTCCAATAAAATTCCTTGAAGGAATGCATATTGCCCAACACCTTTCATGACAATGTTTTAGAGCAGTGGCGTTGTCAAGTTGGAAAAAAAAAACATGTTTGTAATTGTTGGAGAAATTCTTTCTCACTACAATTTAACCAAAACAATCACTCAATGGCAGATGAAGATATTTAACTGACATTTTACTTGCAAGGGCTGATTCATACATAGATACATAAACACATATGCATGAGAACATTGTCACAGAAATGAGCCTTGAACAGACTCGTCTGCAGACTATACAGCAGCAGAGTCCAGCGCGTGTTCCCTCATAGCTGCAGTCAGCTGCACAACATGATCCATGGCCGTCGGTGAGTCGACCTCCAGGTAGAGACAAAAGATGGTTTTGGTAGACATCAGGTTCTCAGGACAGAGGAAAATGTTTCTCAACCATCTCAGCCACAATATAAAAGCATAAAACATTCATAATCTATAACCAAAAATTCTCTAACAGGATTGTTTTTTTGTTTTTTTTGTGCTTGAAAAGTATATTTCAGTCCATTCTTAGAAACAAAATGCAAAATATGAGTCGATTTTCTTCCAAAACAGTCACTAAAATGAGACAGTCATGCAGTAGATCTGAGTAGAAGAAATATTTTGTCTAAATCTCATCTCAGAGAGTTTTAATACAGGTCTGCTGGACACACACAACCATGGACGGCTCATCCTAAAAGGTGGTTGAAGCACTGAAGGAGTTATTCTGGCAGTGGCTAAAACTGATTCATAGAACGGTTGAAGGGATTCAACTTGTATCTAAATTGTTCCCACTGCCTTAATAAAGTTCATATTCTGTTCTAACAATGAGTAAATAAACAGCTTTTTTTGTCAGAAACACTTGCTGTGTGAAGGTTTGCCTAAAAATCTACTTTGTGGTGAAAGCCAGTCCCTTTTCCCCCTGAAATAAGAACAAAACTAATAAACATACTTAATTATAAACAAAAACTCAAATTGTTCCTAATATTTCACATTGTTGTAAGAATTATTTTTTAATCTGGTTTCCTTTATTAAGCTAAATAAATAAATAAAAACATTCTTAAAATTTACAAAAGGTGTCCGTCTGCATCACTCCAAGGGCCACAAATGCCCCGCGGGCCGCACTTTGGACGCCCCTTTTCTAGATTATCTTGTGACGAGAAATGAAGGATTTATAGCTTTTATGCTCAATCCTTGAAATATATTGTTTAATACAATCTCATGATTTGTCAGCACTTGGAGTAAATGTTGTGACTCTCAGCTACTACCACAACAAATTTTACGTTTTCCTCCTGTTGCACCTTGATGAGGCTGTAGACGTCAGAAATGTTATCTTCACTTTATTCATCATCCCACTCCATCGTCTGAAAAGTCCATGAAGTCCAACTTAAACTGAGAAGAAGAAAAAAATCAGTGATCAGATCTGGTTATGAAGGAGTGACACGATTCATTTATGATGTCCAAGAAACCTTCAGAGATCAGAGCTTCTCGTCTCTGAGCTGCCAGCTTCCATGTGAAGGAGTGTCCACCTGAGTCCTGCACCTGCGAGAGGTAAGTGTTCTGAACATAAAATCTGAGTCTAGGCTGGAAACGAACCCTCTGAACAGACTTTTTTATTTTTAAACAAATATCAGAAAGATTTATTTCCTCCGAGAGGTCACAGCTCCGTCTTTCATCTGTCCTGAAGAAACTTGGATTTATCATCAGATTCGGTGGTAATCTGAAGGTTTGTGGGCTTTGGGTTCAGCTGCATCAGAGTGAGTTTTTATTGTTACGAGAAGAACAACTGGACAGACGTTGAACGAACTTTGAGGAAACATTGATGTGGCACAGAACTGTCAGCATCATTAAAGATGCAGATTCAGAAGGAAAATCAGGAAAAACTGAAAAATCCTAAAAACGGTGGGTAATTTTGTTGGCAGAAATATTAAAAAATACTTTAGTTTGTCTTATTTAATTTGTTTACATCCATTCAAGCCTGCACATCAGCCTGAAACTCGTTAAAACTCCAGCTTGTTTTATTTCCATGAGGTGTAGATTTAATTCTGACCTTGTCCAAATTTGTACTTCTGTCTGTTTCCATCTAATCTATTTTCAGGTCATTTTTCACATCTGTGTGCTGCTGGTCCAACGATTTATTTATTTATTTTTATTTTTTATGTTTAATCTCATCCACATTAAACATTCCAGCTGTTTCCTGTTTATTTCCTGGACTCTTTCTGAAAAAAATATTTCAAGTTTTAGAAACACGTTTACGGTTTAAAGGTTTATTCTGGAGTAGGATTTAGCTTTATTGAAGAACTTCATCAGGTTTTAATCTAGAATAAAATCAGATTTATTCTGGGATAAGGTCCACTTTTATGACAAGACCATGCTTAATGTCTGATGGGATGAATGCACACAGTCCTCAGAAGGGTAGAAAGTCAAATAGGAAGTGAGTTTAGTTTTGGCCCCGCCCCCTGAGTAAACTGGGATATGTCATTAAGCAACACATATGCAGTTGCTACACTTCTACAATCACTACCCAAACAGAGTTCAGCTGCAAAACTGTAAGTTTCTGCTCTGTTTTTTTGTTGTTGTTGTTATTATTATTTTAGATTAGTAACATTTATTTATTATTTTATTTATTTATTATGTTCTATAGGATCAGAAATTTTGGCACGGATTAAAACGGGCCTCAACCAGTGCATTCTTTAATGTATGGCATGAAAACAGCTGCACGCAGAGTTTACTGTGTTACAAGACATTTACCTTCCAGTTGAGATTCATTTTAACAGTCTTCAGTTTTGTTTTGTTTTTTATGGAGTTAAAAAAAGTGTGACATGTCAGTTTTCTCTGTTGTAGGAACCAGTAAAGATGGTCGAGTTAGTGGAAAACGAGGTCTTCATGGCCTTCGCCACCTATGCTGCCATCGTCACCCTGAAGATGATGCTGATGGGGCCGCTGACCGTGTATTTTCGGATCGCCCGGGGGGTGAGCGGCACGCAGCAGGATGCAGACTTGTCAGAACAGGATCTTTGACTTTTAAAGTTTGAGTCTCCGCATTCCCAGAAAGATGAGATCAGTTCAGGAGAATCATGTTGGTCTCTGAACCAGTCTGTCCTGTCTCTGCAGGGTCAACTCCTAACTGTAAAAACTGTTTAAACACATTATCTGGAAAAACGGAGCCGTCTAGGAACAGTTCCTTCACGCTGTTTTTGTGTAATTGTATTGGAATGAATAAAACAGACCCTCCCATCCTGTTCTGCTAACTGGAATCTCTGGTGTGCAGACAGTTGCTGAGCTTTAAGTCCGTGCACGTGTTCTTTCTCTTTCTAGTCATTCACCAACGAGGAAGACGTTGCTGGAAAGTCTGATGCAGAGAAGAAGAAGCTGCTGAGAAGTCATCAAGATGTGGAACGAGTTCAAAGGTAAATATCTCCTATAAGCTGCTATATTTATTTTGTTAAATTTTAATGTGTCTTGTGCACTCGTTAAGGATTTAAAATTAATATATGAGCGTCTCAGTCAGCTGTTGGCTCCCAGCTCGTCAGTAGATCTGTTTTAAAATGATGCTTCAGCTTTAATGCATTTGTTTACATTTGTTTAATTTTTTAAACACACATTAACCAGCAGGTTTAAGCAATCGGTAACTTGATGCAGTAAAATGTCTGAAACCTTCCACTGCAGACGTTTTACTGCTCAGGGCAGACCCGTTCCATTTTGCTGAGTCATATCCCTTCAGCTAAAAACTGAGCAGAGGTAGATGCTTCAGGTGTGACCAGAATATTTTTACAGCACCAGGGTTTTAATGAGAAATTACACCTTTTTTTCTTCTTTTTGCAAATAAAATATATAAAAAAAAACAGGTTCATGCATTACTGTAGGCTTCAGTTTGAACAAAAGGTGATGCTACTGAAGAAATGATTCACTAACTCGAAATAAATATCACGTAAAACTAAATTTTTGCCCAGTTTTACCCACAAATCCCAGTTTGAGGGAGTCAACATGGTTGGTTGGCACAGAAATCTTTTGGTGTGGGAGAAGAAACAAACCCGACTGGACCTCAGTCGCAGTCAATTAAACAATTGTTGGGAGTTTTTAGAGCCAAATATGGAGGCTTGCTGATACGAACTGATCTCTGACCCAATGCAAACATGTGTGGCCAACAAACAATGAAAAACAGAAGGTAGGACAGGAAGCAGCTTCAGAAGAGCATGTAGCTGCACAGACAACAGCGGCAACGAGCCGATTGTCGTCCATGTTTGTTTACACTTTTATTAAAGAGTTTGGTGAGTTCTGATGGCTTTAGTTGGTTTGACCAATCTTGTGATCCCCAGTCTTTCATTCATACAAAAATCTGCTAAAACCAGTCTGTTAATGTGGACTCCCCACTGGGGTTTTTTTATAATGTTGAAACCATACCCAGCCAGCAGACTCTTTTCTAGTTATTTCTCTGCAGTTGGAGCCAGGGCTTAATTTGTAAACTGATCGATGCAGGAACAAAAATAGCGGACGGGCTCCCCCAGAAAATGTTGAATAAAGTAGATGCTATTTCCTGCCGTGTATTTTAACGGGTTGTTAAACCTCTACGTTTATGTACATTTGTAAACACTCCGCTTCTGTCAAGCATCCTACCCCACCTCCTTACTTGACGATTTTGAGCTGACTCTTCTCCGCTGAATTCACATGTGAAACCTCCAGGCATCTCCTCCATCTGTTCATGTCCGCTGCCTGTGGGCTCCTGCCCGCGTAAGACTGCCTGGTTAGCTCGGCACTCACCCCCACCACTCTTTTAGGGGCAGAGATTTTTTTTTAAGGGTAGAGACAGAAATGCTTACTTGAAGGGGCAGCTCTTATGTGATATTAAGAAGCTCGTAAGTGGCTGTTGTGTTTAAAATTTGTGTTTATATAATTATTTTCAGTTACATATCCAATACAAGATTTATTCATTCAAGGCAGTCATATTTGTTCATAACTTTATTATTAGTAAGCCTGAGAGTTTCCCGATCCAAGCAAACAGTTACAGAACGAACCCTGTCAAAATAAGAGAGTTCCCGGTTCCTGTCCCGGCAGGATCCAGCTCAAATTAAGCTCTGGTTGGAGCCCACATCAGTCCAGTTTCCTTTGCTTCACTGATCTTCTCCAGGCTTACGTTGATCTTTTCCAACTTTTCTCTTACCATGAGAGCTCCTGGTCTTGTGACAAGCCTATATTTGGCTTAACTTCCAGCCTGATCAAATTCTGGTTGTTTTTTTATCAGCTTTGTAAATCAGCTGCTAATTGTCTGCTGACCCATGTCTGTATTATGATAGTGATGATTTATTTTCTTAGATCAATACAGCAGGTGACAGGTGACATTCTGCAGGTTACAAACTTGAGTTGCATACCTGGGTCTAGATCCTCCTCAGTACCTCATGATGACATGGCATTTTTGGCTCCTGCTGCTGACGTGGGGTCATAAAACTGAGTGTAACATGAAAGCTGAAGCCTCCACCGGTGTTTCCGGTTTATTGTTGCTTCACTTTTCTCTCAAACCGTCTGTCTTCTGTCTAAAATATGGACATGTCTGTCATCACATTGTCACCCAGCTGAGTGTTGACCTGAGAATCTGGTTCTGCTCTGTTGGTGCTTTTGTAAAGGGGTTTAGTTGGTGTATGCCTGAACGCACCTCACTCTCCGGTCTGCAGAAACAACGTTGCTCTAACTGGGTTTGGCATCTCAGCCTCGGGGAACCAGTTACTTTCTGACAACCTGTTATTATAAGAAAAAAATGATGATTATGAGTCACTGTCATTGACATATACTTTTTATTGTTTTGTTGTTTTGTTTTGTGATTGGTTTGTTCAGAGCTGAGATCTCACTGGTTGTTTTCAGAGCAGGTTTAACACATTGTGGTAAAGATGGTGGATTGACCAACACCCCATAAACCTGTAAATGTTATTAAAGCATGAATGATGGTAACAATGGCTGCATGCATGTCATGTTTTTCACCCTGCAGGTGTCACCACAATGACTTGGAGAACATCATTCCCTTCTTTTTCATTGGCCTGCTTTACTCTCTGACTGGACCAGAACTTTCCATTGCCCTGCTTCACTTCCGCGCGTTCACGGCCTGCCGCATCTTCCACACGATCGCCTACATCGGTGCCCTGCCACAGCCCAGCCGTGGGCTCTCCTACATCTTTGGCATGCTGGTCACCATCTCCATGGCGTACAGAGTGCTCAGTACCATCCTATTCCTGTAGGGGGCGCTCTTGATAGCACGCCATCCTTCAGGAAATAACGCCATTTTCTATTTTTCCAGTTTGACAGAACCTTTTGTTGGATGTGATGTGCAGGAATCCTTTTGACATTAAACTGTGAATGTGAATAAAACGTTTAATAATAAACGTTTCTGTCAACTGTGTGCATGTGGGGATCATTTCTATTTGTGCACTTTTACTGCAGATAAGGAAGTGATAAATTTTCTATGCTAAAAGTCAAGTTAAGCTCCAAATTGCAGCTGAACTTTGAGCTGTTTGAACTTGAAATGCTGCCATACAAAGAAGACGGCCGCAGCTAATTTGGACCTCAACAAGCTGCTGTCCATGTGAAGATTTGGTTCGTGCTGGAGAACTCAAAAGAAGCCATGATCCAGACCATTCCAAAAACAGGAAACCCGTTATCATAAATCCAATTATCGACAAATTCAGCATCCTCGGTCGATAGCAGAGGTAGGCACATCCCCTCCCAGAGATGTATCCATCGCAGTGGTGGTGGATTCTCCACCGGTGGTGGTGCATGATGGATTCTCCGGTGGTTCACACTCTTGTTTTTATTTCTACTATATTCAGTGGATATAATAAAATAAAAACTATCCATCACCACGCACGGCGTGTGGTGGTGGATTCTCCGGTGGAGCTCACCCCTGGTTTTATTTTTATTTTATTTAGTGGATTAAATAAAATGAAACTAAAAACAGGAGGCGGGCGGTGGTGGGATCCCTCCATGGATTAAAAAAAAATAAACTAAAAACAACATCTTTTTAGTGAAATCTTTCCACACAATTGATGAATTTCTACCTGTTTGGGAAGACTCCTCGCCTTCCATCTGCTTGGAAGAATCCGTTTTGTAGCCAGCCGTCTGGTGCTGATCACGTGACGCAATCACTGACTGCGACTAATCTACGTGAAATTTAAAAACTCATGAGATGTACTAGATTCAACCCCTACCAGGCATCCCTAATTATTTGAGGAAACTATGCTTTTTTTAAATTTTATATTGCTTATAAGGATAACTTCTTCAAATGATTGGGGTGGCCCATGGAGCAAAGGCCACCATTGGCCACCCCTGGCTCCGCCATTGCTCCTGTTTCTATTCTTCTACACAGTTCTACCCACTTAAATATGTTGCACCACAAACATTAAGGTTTACTTGCATTCTGTTCAAACCTTCACTCCTCAAATCCCTCAGCTGTGGGGATATCGCCATCCTTGTTTACATTTTTTCCCCGTCCTTTTTGTATTTGTTGCCACCTCCACAGATAACTTTCTGCTGCTGTCGGGCTCTGAAAGGGTTAATCATCATTTAAACGTTATCAGCTGCGCTGCTGTCTCTGATATGTGGGTGTGGAGAGAGTTCAGTTACCCTTCTTGTGATAAGACGTTTGGCAGGAATATTGATGCACAAAGGGCTCCAGTTTGTGTCAAACTCAACTCAGTCTTGCATCGTTGCACTCCATTAAAAACTTTTCTTATTTTTCTGCATAATTCTGATCAAAAATACTGAGTTTTAAACAGAGTGAAAAAAGTTTTTTTTTTTTTTTAACCTACTCTTACAGATATGTGCAGTCCTCTGGTTTAGGACTCTAAAGGTGACATTAAAGCCACTCAGGTGCAAATTAAACTTTCACTTGTAGCTTAAACTATAGTTTCTGGTCTGACCATGAGAAGAAAAAAAACTTTTTTAGAAGAGTTTATGAGTAAAAATAATTTTCAATTTTCTGTAGAGGTATTTTCTTAGACAGTCATAAGGCCTTGTTTCCAATAAGTGATTTGTGTTTTTAAAAAAATGGCCAAAAATAATAAGGCAACACTTCTCTTATTAAACTAAAGTGCTTGCTGACTCCAGAACAAACTCACAAGGAGCTGAATGTTCTGGTCTGTCCAGTTAGAAAATGTATTCTCCTGTTCAGAAATGAAACCACATAAAACATCCTTCTGATTATTGAGAAACTAAATTAATTACTGTTCCTCAGCATCATGGGGGTGTTGGCAGCAATAAATAAGGTATTGATTTGATTGAGCTGAAACATGAGAGACTTGAGCAGCCTCGGGCCGTCGGGGTGGAATGGAAGCAGCCAGCCACATTCATCTTGATTACGCTTCATTTGGTCCAATCAGAAACCAGTAACTACAGGCTGTTTGTCAAAGTCACAGCTGAGGGAGTACACAAAGCTCACCGCCATGCTGGCTTCAGCAGCGCAGGTTCTGTCAGATTTATGACACAAGCCTTACAAGATCAGGTTTTCTTATTTGGCTTTACTCTGGGACTCAACACGTGGTCAGGTTTTATTCTGAAACAGAATCAGGCTTGATGATGGAACAGGATCTAGTTTTATCCCAGAACAAAATCAGGATTTACCTTGAAACAGAATTAGATTTGATTTTGAAGCAGGATCAAGTTCAGTGTCAGAACAGGACCTTGATTTTCATGAAAATCCATTCATTCATTCAACCTTTATTTATGCAGGTTAGTCTCATTGAGCCTCGAGGACTTGTAAAAATAAAGTTTAATTCTGGAAAAAAATCAGGTTTAATTTGGATCAGGTTTTGTTTGACAACAGGATGTGGTTTAATTCTGAAACAGGAATAATTATTTTCCCAGAACAGAATCAGGACTGTTTTATTTTCAAATAAAATCTTTATTTTGTGGACAGAAACTCATTTTATGCTGGAAGAAAATCTGCTTTTATTCTTTAGATTTAATTTCATTCTGAACAAGATAAACTTATCCTGAAATAGAATCAGGTTTTATTTTGGATTAGGCTCAGGTTTATTATAGAACTGTGTTTGGTTTTACTCTGGGACAGGATCAAGTTCGATCCTAGAACAGATTTAGGTTTTATTCTGGAACAGAAACAGGTTTTACTCTGGGACTGGGTCAGGTTTTATTCTGAAACAGAATCAAGCTTGATTCTGGAACAGGATCAAGTTTTATCCCAGAACAGAATCAGGATTTATCTTGAAACGGAATCAAGTTTGATCTTGAAACGGAATTAGATTTGATTTTGAACCAGTATCAAGTTCAGTCTTTGAACAGGATTGTGATTTTCGAAAATAAATTTTTATTCTGGAACAAAATCAGGTTTTAATCAGGATTAGGTTTTATTTGACAGCAGGATGTGGTTTGATTCTGAAAAAGGAATAATAATTTTCCCAGAACAGAATCAGGATTGTTTTATTTTCAGGTAAAATTAAGTTTCATTTTGTGGATAGAAACTCATTTTATGCTGCAGAAAATATTTTATTCTGTAGATTTATTTCATTCTGAACAGGATAAACTTATCCTGAAATAGATTCAGGTTTTATTTTGGATTACGCTCAGGTTTATTATAGAACTGGGTTTAGTTTTACTCTGGGACAGGATCAAGTTGGATCCTGGAACAGATTTAGGTTTTGTTTTGCAACAGGGTCGGACACTAATACAGATTAAAGTTAAAACCTGAAACAGAATCAAGTTTAATCTTGAAACCAAATCAGGTTTGAATCTGAATTTGCATCAAGTTTAATCTCAGAACAGGATTAGGATTTGTCTTGAAAATAAAAGTTTATTCTGTAAATGAATAGTGTTTTGTTTTTAAGTAAAAATAAGTTTTATTTTGGGACAAAAAGTAATAATCTGGGGGGAATCAGATTTGAACAGGATAAGTTTTAATCCTGAACAAAATCAGGTTTTAATCTGGAACAGAATCGGGTTTCATTCTACAGCAGTATACAAATTAATTCTGGATCAGGATCAAACATGTTCCCAGAACAAGATCAGGATTTATCTTGAAACAAAGTTTTGTTTTGAGACAGAAACCGGTTTATATTTGGAACAAATTCAGGTTTTAAACTGAAACAGAATCAAGTTTTATTCTGGATCAGGTCTTATTCCGTAACAAGATCAGGTTTCATTCAAGGCAGAACCAGGTTTCATTGGTTAACTGGATCAAGATCAATTCCAGAAAACAAAACTCCATCCACTTGTTTCTTTTCATCTCTGACTGGAGTCAAAGCTCCTAAACTCTTTTGTCGGCCATTTTGAACCATGTGCGTTCTCACACCTGAGCTCAAGGTTTGAATTTATTTTTTAAGGAAAATTAAATAGCCACTTTTTATTGGACTGGTTTGTCACTTTGGGCCAGTTCAAAGAAAAGTGAGCCACCACAGCCCGCAGGACTCGGACACAGAACCAGATCTTCATGCTGGAAAACCTTTACAGGTGTGTTACTGGGAAGTTGGTGCTCAGGCCTGTGAATGGAGCCCTTTGGGTTTTGAGGAGGGAAACGTTTTACAAGGAAATAACAAAACAATTGGCTCATTTTATGGATTGGATCAGTTTTCCTTTAGAGCCAACACTTGGGGACGGTTTGTCAAACATCTGACGGAGACGACCTGATGAAGCTCAGCTCCGTCCTGTGCATCATCTGAGGAAGGATTACACCTCAGCGCCGTCTCCGACCCTGTGAGCAGACATTGTATCTGAGGATTCGTTAACTGCAACGGCACGCTTTGCACCGACTGTCACCCAAAGGAAAGAGAGAAGAACCGAGTCAATAAGGGCAGGAGCCCGTGTGTTTGGATCGATCCTCCGCAGCTGATTTCACTGGCAGAAAGCATTCAGGGCGCAGCTCAGCCCCGAACGGTCCGAGTGAAGATGCAAACGGATCTTTGTCTCTGAAAACGCATTCAGTCTTTGCAGGAGTGAAACAGGCCTGATGGAGGCCAGGTGTGGTTTGGTGGCATTTTAGTGCCACCTGGAGGCCTAACGAGAAACATCAGAACTCTGTGGAGTTTGGACTTGGAATGATGATTCAGCGTCGCTCCGTTTTCTTTTATTTATATCTTCTTCTTCTTTTGTCTTTTTGATTTAATGCTTCTGCAGACTTTGTGCTATTTTAGCTGTTCATGCATCCAAATGTTCAGCTCCTTCACCAAACGGCTGCAGTGATTTTAGTTTTTTTAATAACTTTTGTACTTTTCAATATATTTAACTTTATTTACAAATATTTTTCCCCCATAGAAATAAACAGGAATTTGTTCAAGTTCATCCAAAACACTTTTGCTTTTTAAATTTGCTTCAGAGTATTTGTTCGGTTTCTGTCTGTTCATGCTACTGTTAGCTTTCAGCTACTGTGCTAATAC